TGCGGGTGATGCGGCAGGATTCTTGCAGTCATTAGCGGCCTATGCTGCTCTCACAGTTCTTTCCGCTGAGCTTGGTCTTCCTCCCTGTTCTCAAGCTCTGCAGCCATCGTGAGTCCTTCATCCTGCCTCTTGCCATGCTGTCCTCCAGCTGCACGTTCCGCTGCCTTCGATACAGGGCCTGCTTGGTGGCCCTCTCCGAAACATCAACCACAAGTTCATCTAGGAAACGCTTCCTCTTGGAACCGTCAGAGCAGGTCCAGCAGCCTGGGCTACTGTGGAGATGCTGCCACCAGTAGAGGTTGAGGGGCCTGGAACTGGGCAAGACACAAAGGGATATTGTCTCAAATAACTCAGTGCCGGGGCATAGAAAAAAAATCCATGCGTAATTACAAGGACATAAAATGATACTTTCACAAACTGAACTTCAGTATAATGAGCGAGGGAGTGTCAGACCACAGACGCTCCTGGACACACCTCCAGACACAATTGTTTAAAAAACCAGTTTGGATTTGTAACTATTGTAGAAAATGGCAGAACTACTTAGGCTTTGGGGGGAGACAACAGTGGCCATGCTACAAAAGTTTTTTCCAGCCGTTCAGGCCTTCCATGATTTGGGAGACAGAACACTTCTTGTAACGCCCAGTTGGCCATGGATGTGTTACTCCACGCTGATGGGAAATCTGCAGTTTACACAATCTTAAGTTTTCAAATGTGTAGTAACTGAACAGTATATTGATGAACAGGATGAGCTGATCAGCTACTGAGGTATTCCTGGCAAATGCAGCCTTCCCTGAAACGTGACTACCTATCTGTAACCTTCCCCCTCCCCATACGTTTCTGGACAAAGTTTCCAACTCCAACCATATTTGGGACCATTCTGTCACCTATGGACTTCCTCAGACTGAAACAGACCAGCTTTGTAAACTGGAGCACGTTTCCACCTACTCTAGACCCATTCCCTGTTTCCAGATGGCTTGATAGACAAGACAGTGGTTACAGAGTGCCACACTTGCAGGCATGTCAATGGAAGGTTATTATCCCTGAAGAAACAGAAATGGCGCTAGCAAAAATCCATGCCTTTCCAGTAACTATACACTTTAAAGGTGTTCTTTACTGCTTGCATTTCCCTGCTGTCACTTTGAATGTCATGCGGCCCCGAGGCAGAGAGAAGAGGACTGCAAAGCACTGACATACAATCTGCCGTTAGCAGAGACACAACAGCGCCTCTCAACTTTTGCACGGATTCCTAGAGTAGAAATCCCACCCATTATTGTGTTAACAAGCATTGAAAAGGAGCCAGATACTTACCGGGCTCAGGATTGGCTTCTGTCATCTCCGCTTCAGGCGGCTTCTCAGGGGAGCCCCAAATGGCTCCTTCAAGGATAGGCCCAGAACGTGCTGCTCCTGCTCCAAAGCTGCCTTAGGTCAAGTTCCAGCAACAGAATGACAACACCGTCCCCCTCCGGTGCCTGCTGCTGGCTCCCATCAGTCCCCATGATGGATTCTGAGGCAAGCGGGGCACCAGCTGACCAGGTCATGACCATCACCGTTGGCTCCATGCTGAGCACAATGCCAGCACCCAATTCAACTCCTCAAAAAATGGGCATGTCATTGGCAAGTTGCCTGAGGGCTGGGTCTAGTCCCTGGTTTTCTGGTATTCACTGGGGAGCTGCTGCATCTGCTCCCTGCTCTGGCCACCAGGCTAGTAAATATGTAAAGCTGCTAACGTCTTCGCTCTTTGCATGTGCATAGACATTCCAATAATCTCACAAAGCCCCCGTTTTGCTGACCTTGCACCAGAGATTTGCCGAAATCTGGCTGTGCTCCCTCCCATGACCATGAAGCAGTGTACTCTGCAAAAGCTCTCTGCTGGCTAGGCTCTGCAAACAGAAGGATCTCGTGGGGCATTGGCAGCCGAGAGGTCAGGAGGTAAGAGAAGGGTTAACTGTGGCTCACTGAGCTGTAGCTTCTGTTCTCACTGGAACCTCCTGGAGAGTCTTGGGACAAAGGAAGCTGGCCCATGGAATTGAAA